TGGTGTATTAGATCAGGAAATTAGCATGAAACAGATGGGTGCCTTTTTTAAAAATGGGCAAGATGTACATTACTTCTGCTAAATGTATAAAAGTTGCATTCAATGGAGAATCGAAATAACTTCGGAATGTTTCTTTGATTTTTTAATTGACAATTCCATAAAATTTGCTCTACGAATTCTCAATTTCCATTGACAGAAATGCCTCCACTCGAACGTTTTTTTCGCTTTTTCAGCATGGATGATTAAGCATACTACTCACGCTGTCAATTAACTAATTGCAAGTGGGTTATCATTTTCAAGATCATTCAATTTCACCTGCTGATTTAAGTTATCAAAACAAATTTCCTTAAGTACCGAGTTCCTAAGGGAAATTTTAGTCTGAGGTTCATTAACTTGGAGGATAACTGTTAAATTAATTTCCGACCTACGAAAGAGACAACTTCACCTCACGCAAAGGGGTATTGAATACTGACTCCGTAATAAATTTGTATAATCTTCTATACAACACTGTAAATGTAATTGTCCTAAGACCTTATTTCCGTTTTCCCTTTCCTCTTTTCTCGTCTTCTTCCACTATTTAAGCTTTCATTTACACAGTCACTTCTACAATCTATTCCACTGTTTTATAATCTCCATACTGACGCGCGCCCCTCACTGACATGAACAATAAGCGAAATATCATTAGCATTTGCTTGTTTCTGATTGATCCTTTCCTTCCCTAATCTGATTTATTTTCTTTTGCCAACGCTCCACACGCTTTGCCGGACATGGTCTGAGAATTATTCCGTTTCGATCGAAATTTAAGAGATTTTGAGGATTAATTCGAATATTTTATAGATGTCTTGAATCCACGGCTTAGTGTTTCGTGATATATTCAAAGTTGTTTTAGACGTAGCTTTGTTTTCATAAAGTGATAATTAATAATTGATTCAAGAACATTCACGCGAGTGAACTGCAATCATCTTTCGAAGTTTCCAGCGATCCTTTCACGCTATGTCTGCGCTATGTTTTCAAATTTTGTTTTTGATAATTTTTAGCTTTCCACCATAAAATGAAAGCAAAGCTTGTTAAAAAAAGTTCGCACGAACAAGATTTACAATAGGGTTCGTTAAATCGTTCGATGCCCTGAAAACTATCTAGGCTATGTTCTCAAGATTGCGCACTTAGGTCAAGTAAATTCTTCAGACTGATCTTAGAAATTGCCAACATAAAGACGGTAATACTTGCAGGGAAATCCCGTGTACATGTAGCACACGATAGACTTCTCAAAGGGTCTATCTCTTTTGATTTCAGTAGTTCATTGAAAAGATTTAAACTATTGCTCATTGTCAACACATGATTCTGACATGATGCTGTACCCTGAACTTTTCATTAGGTCATGCACTTGATTAAGTCCAAAAGCCCAACATACCGGGATCTGATACATCGCCCGAAGTTTTCCGCGGTTTTCCGCCCCGTTTAAGACTCCTGGCAACCATAATGTGGATGCGAAACAGTGCCAGAAGCAGCTTTCTCCAAGAGCTTCCCCAATTTCCCCTGCAACGATGCATGGGCAGAAAAACGCCTTGAAGCAGATTCCAACATTTTCGAAACAGCCACAGAGACCACTCGACCAGTCGGTCATTCTTAAATTTTCCAATCACCGCTCAAAGGTTTCGACTTCCTCCCCAAACGTGATGGTGTTGTGCTTCGAGGCAACAAGCGGTTACAGGTTGAATATTGTTTATAACTTGTGTTGCCCCGCGACGGTACAAACAATATTTTCTATTGATTGGCCAGGATCTGCAGTTTGATTTCCCTTAGACCATTTTGATATGCCTGAGCGAGATAGTCATGCTTCGAATAGCCGAGGAAAAATTCTACAACCAGGCGGCAGTTTTTACAACATCGCTAGCAAAAGTCGGTGAGTGGATATGTTAGTTCCACTAAATACATTTGTTGCGCAATTAAAAATGTAAATGGAACAACAGGACATTCGCCTCCTTGTGTTGACTTTTTGTGTACGATCTCCTGCGACAGTCGAAATGAACAGTCTCTGAATTTTGTTAATAAAACACTTGATAAGAACTGAACTTTTCTGAATGAAGTTTAAAAATAGGCTATAGTTTATTATCACGAACATCATAAAACCAGGTTCCGTCCCAACTTTTTCTTCCCTTCTCTTTTGGCGTGCATTTTAAGGACAAGGTGTTTGAAATGTTTTTATTAAAAGCCTTACCCTTACGTGGGGTACGGAAGGAGAACTGCGTGCTTATGCAGGTATTTAGGCGCCTTTTGTCGGTAGTGCTAGGAAGACAGGACAGCACCTTATTATGTATGTGATTTTGTGGACATTTTTTTCCTCAGGTTGTAAAGCAGTGGAGTTTTTACCGCATCTTTCCAAGCTGCTTTATCAACTTGCTGAGAGCGTGCTTTTGAGTGATGGTAAGTACCTCAGGAGAAGTACCTCAATTCAGGAAGATTTCAATATCGTCTTATCAAAATAATACAGTGCTTACCATCACTATGTATTCTTTAAGTAAAGACGATATTGATAAATCTCTCTGACTTTATTATCTAAAAGTACACACTGAACAGACAAACTTCTTTAACCTGTGGCTTACGGAACTTGGTCGGAAACGCGGTAGCGGATCTAATGATTGTTTCTTCAAACCACTGGTGTCTGCTGTACTGACAAACATTCGCAACACGTATAATAGAACTGCTGTAGCGAACAAGTCGTGATTGGATTTAGCTTTGCATTTGATTGTTTGAGAGAGTGGCGTAAGGTCTCTGGACTAATCACATAGCGGTGTAAAGCAGTCTTGAATTACTTTCGGCATCCAATTGAAAATTACTGTAATGTGAAAGTTCTTTTCCTTTGTTTTTCGGTTTTTTTTTTCTTTGTCTTTTTTCTTGTTATTATATTTACCACTGGCACTTTCAGTTTTTTTCTCCTTTCTTTCTCATTTGAGACGCACTTTGTGGAAGATGTCACCGATGCTGTGCCTGAGTTACCTACATTTGCGAGTTTTATCGTGTAAATAATAACAAGCGCTCCTGCCTTGCTGAGGCAATGATGTAGTTCAAATTGTCCTTGTAGTGAAAATTGAGTTCTGTCGTCCGATTCGTGATTTCTCTTTACAGTTTTTTGCGGGCACCGCTGCTCATTACATCATTGGCAGTCGCTTATGGTAAAAGTTGTTAAAACCTCTGTCACTACGTCAGTGATAATACTAACAGTGGAAACTCAGCATCGGGTTATAAAATTCTTTGCAACACTTTCAACACTCACAGCACAAATGACAATAATATTACTTATTCTTTTGCCTTTTTAGATCCTTCTTGTTGGAATTGAAAGAGCGGGTGTTGCCCAGAGCAATCGATGAAAACACTGACCAACAGGAAGCTGTTGTTTCACTTCTGGGAGCCCTTGGAGGTTTGAGATCGCCTATGTCTCCTGTTTAGATTCTCTTGCTAAAGGGTTGAACATTTAATGCAACGGGAAGTTCTTGAATGCTTGTCAATTTTCTTTACTTGATCTAATGTAAGGCGTGCATTGGAAACGAATTAACGTTTTAATAATGTACATGGTTTCCATTCGTTACTTTGGAGCACTTTCTCCAACGCCCCATTCCCTCGCTGTCACCCCCTTCTCCTAATAGATAAGGGAAAATATTGTCCAGGATTTACGAGAGTAAAAACCAGAGAGCCCGACGCTAAAATTTATCATCAACTAAGCCCAAAGCTAGCAACGGGAGTCAGCCTAGTGAGCCACATTCTTTATCACCTTCAAATTTGTCCAAATTGATTGTCTTTAAGAGATCACCTACTAGGACATTGTTTGATGTTGAGGGGGAATGGGAAGAGAAATTTTCTGTGAGGCAGTTTTCTTTTCCCCCCGTCCTTCTCTTCAAACTTATGTGATATATGAAATGGTTTCATTTCTTTCTGTTCTTTATTTTATTTTTCGCAGGAAAGGCTGAGATAAACGTCATTAAGACTTGCGCTCTTCACGCTAGCGAACAGTTAAGAGCGTGTCCACGTGAGC